GCCGCCCCCCCCCCCCCCCAATCTTCTTCTCAGGTCTTTTTGGAAACGATCCCTTATTACTGCATATATAAAGCTGAATTGTTAGCATATGGGAGTTGGTTGGAGTTGTTGCTCTGACTTTGACAGAGTTAAACATTTGATTAATGTCCATTTAATGCTATTGTAGAAACTTCACATCCTTTACAAATGTTTCCATAACTTGCATATTCAGATATTTATCCAAACATAATTGCTATGGGTTTTCCTGCGGAGAGGCTTGAAGGAGTATACCGGAACAACATTGATGATGTAGTAAGGTAAGGCTTTATTTTTCTTTTCCTTAACTTATTCTTGTAAATCTTAAGTATCCTTTTCTGCACTCATTTATGTTCTGCTAAGGAAAGGATGCGTCTTCTGACTCATAGAATTCAAGATGCAAGATTTTGCATCTTGTGGATGTTGCCGTATTAGCTTTTCTGAAAAATGTTGGAAACAACAAAAATGATATTTTCGGGAATTTTAGACCAGACTGCTGTTCTGGGTTGATCTCAAATGCATGTATTCTGCTTTATAGTGTGAAAAATTGACTTCAGTAAATTGCGTTGGAGTAAAAGGAGGTTCTTTGCTTTTAGAAAGATGTCAGTCCATGCCTGTATTTGCAGTGCTGAGAGTTTCCTCAGCTGATGGCATTTCAGAATATGTTTGCCCATATCCTTTCTTCAATCAATAAATGAAGTGCTTGATAAGTTAATTTTGATTTAAAGTAGTAAATCAAAAGGCTTTTACATCTGGCTGTGTTCAATAATTGCAGATGAGGAGAAAAATCAGCTAAAATTCATTATTGCTGGTGATGCTTTATAGCACATTTTGTAAAAAAACCTACAGGTTGTCGTTTTTAACATCAAATAAAGTTATCTCCTCTGAACTGCTGGACACAACTGGGGGAGGTGTACTTGGTGTTTCAGGAGCATCGTTGTAATTTGCTTAGTCAACACCCTGCCTGGAGAATGTAGTGTGAGAGGTTGCATTAAAAACTGAATATTTGGCAGAAGCTGCCAAATGTTAGTGTTTTTAGGATCCTGAGTTCTTATTTTTTAAGTCATGCATGGTGCTTTTGAGATCTTGGGCATCTGAGGTCAGAAGTTCAGTAGCTCTCCAAGAGACTTGATGTTCGGGGATGGGGCTATAATGCAGTAAGGGGCATGGTTATGCAGTGAAGTTAGAAGTAGGTGTATCTGGACAAGAAGGTGCTGCTCCCAGGCTAGAGATGCCACAGAAGTTTCTCATAATCACTGGCAGGCAGAATTAGCGCTGCTTGAATGTCACTGGTAATTGTTTGCACCCAGGTTTGTACAGAAGTGAGTTGAGACAGCTCCTCAGTTCCCACACTGGGAGGAATTGTAACCCTCAACTGAGAATCAGTCGTCTGGAGGTAGCGACTTCCCTGCGCAGCTGTGCTTAGCTTCAGATGAGTTCAAGGGGGTTTTGTTTTTGCATATTTAACCATTGTGACGAAGCTCACTATCCACAAATAGTACTGAAAATGTCAGAGGCTGGATTTGACCAGGCTTGCTGAAGCGACCTTGTTCTGTCACGTGGTAGTGAGAAATCGCTTTTCCAGAGCTGGTCCTATCAGTGAGGTTCAGCATACCAATCTGTAAATACTCTTGCAGAGTGTGTATGCCTCTGCTACAATTAACAGAGGCGTGAAGTTGTGTTTTCTAATCGTATCATTGCACACAGCTTGCACACGAGAAAAAGCTTTTGCTGTCCTTTTGGGACAGTTACGGGCTCCCCCACAAATTCAAATCTTTCTTTACCAGCAGTCAGAGCCACCTTTTCATTAAGTTGATGTGGGCATTGCGTCTGCTACGTGAAATATGTGGTCCCTAATGGACTCCACCTTTGGAAATTGTAGTAGGGGGCAAAGTCTGGACTTGGAATAAATGACATGGGAATAATCCAAATCAATAGTAATAGGCAGTACTCTTTGAAGGCCCTCTTCCATTCACAGCATTGATTTTAGTTGCTCCTGTATGAAGGAAAATATATTTTATTGGTTAAGTATGTAGATATGTGTAAATTAGACTTTTGAAGGGGAATGACTATATAACTATTAAGTTGTCCATAAACACTGTGATCAAAAGGAGTAGTGATCACCTAAAAGCATAATCAACCAAATTAGGATATGGAGAGATGCAGATAAACTGGCTGTAGGGAACTGGATGCTAAAGTAGCATTATATTTGTTGCCCCCTATTTTTAAACGAGAATAATGCACAAAATGTGATCATGCACCATTCTGCATGTTGCAATCAGCAGGTCCTCATCCGCTCCTGTCGTCTTTTTATTGTGGAATTTTTTTTCAAGAGCCTTTTATGGAGAAATTCAATGCGTTTGAGCTCTGGAGCAATTGGTATTGAGCCAGGATACGCCAGTGAGCTTTTTCTGAATAGCTGGTATCCTGACAAATTTAATGATAATACTGTATGAGAAGTATGACCTGGACTGCTGGCTGTCTCCTGCGACTGAGGCTTTGAGAGGTTTTGGATGGAATTTTGTCCTTAGAAAAATACTTGCATGAAAGCTAATACTCAGCTTTGTGGATATTACTGGCAGAAGCGGAGTCAGCTATCCTTGCTCTCCAGTGTGTTTTAAATAAGCGGGGACATCTCCTGAAACAAATCGCCATGTCCACCATCTTCTTTAATCTCTCAAAGTCTGCCAACAGGGACGCCAGTGGGAGTCATGAAATATTTTTGCCAATGAAATTGGAATCTTGTACTCAATGCTGCACAAGGAGCGTTCACATCTGTTCTTATTTTAACTCATCGGTTTAACCACAGAGTTCTTCTGGGTTCTTCTGGAATATTATGACTGATAACCAGAGCTTGTTTTTGCTTGAGCTTTCCAGGATTTTAGCAGCTAGTGTTTCTTTTCAATTTGAACAGCATGTTCTGTCATGGCTAATTAAATTCCTTCTGGCTGATGTGCAGATACACACTGTTGATGATGTTAAGTGTAAACATTTGTATGTTATTTCTTCTTGAACATTGCCAGGTGACACATCATATATAATCATGGCAATTTTGATGAATCATGTTTGCAGTTTGGCTCTCTGAGGCTTGTATGGGAAATTTTTGTTACAAAGCATGAAAATGAAATCGTATAGTGGTCTTCCTCTTCTTTTCTGAACCCAGAATGTCATTGGGCACTGTCCTCAGACTTCAGTGGCAAATAATGGCCATTTTAAAAACCTGGAGTTAAAATAAATTATTCTGGCTGTTATAACTGGAATATGGAAGTTATTTTAACTGTTTTTCTTTTTTTCATTGGAATTACCACTGTGGCAAAATATTTTGTGTAGATGATTAAATTGGAAGTGTTTACAGATACCTTATGTAATCAATGCTTTCTGTTTTAAAAAAGAAACAACCCTTCCTTAGCTTAATACATTGATGTACAGGTATCTTAGACATCAGTGCAGATTGGTCCATACAATAAATAGTTGCAGATCAGATCTTGGTCTCCTCAGTTGCATAAGTAGTCTTACTCATACGACGGGATTATTTGTATGAGTGAGGTTTGCAACACGCTGCCTCTTTGACTTTGAGGCACTGCAGGGCCAGCTGGGACTTGGAATGCAGAACTGCACATGCTGGATGGTGCTTTAATGATGCTGCAAATTAAGGTCAACATTATTGCAATGTGTATTAATACATGCCTTTTTTTTTTCTACTTAAGGTTTTTGGATTCAAAGCATAAAAACCATTACAAGATATACAATCTGTAAGTATGCTCTTATAGATGTATTTTCCAAAATAATGAGTTCTAAAAATAGCTTATGAGTGAAAGTGGTTTGTTGCTGTACTGAAGCAGAGCTGGAGATGTTTTGCACATTTCTTACAACAATTAAGCCTGATTGAGAGCACTGTTACTTCATTTAGTGGAGCTGAGTGAGGTTAAATGAAATGCTGGTGTGTATTCCTATTACTTGAATGCTTTTAAATGACTTGGCATCTAGCCCATCTGGAGCTTCTACCATGTGATTAAAAAGTGAAAACTAATTCACAGCAGGCTTTCTGTTAATGTATTAATGTCTGCAGTGAAGAATTTGCCAAATGAGTATTTTCCTGTTTTTTTCGGTTTTTTTTAATCGAACTGTATAGGTACCCAGGTTCTGTTTGCTTCCTCACTCTTCTTGACTGTCCCTGTTTATTACTTTGAAAAATCTATTGCAGCAGTTGGTGATGTGATGGTTTCTCACTTTTGTAAGTGTAATGTTTTCCTCTGAAAATTTAGTTATGCAGAAAGCTGTTCTTGTTACAGAAGGGATTTTTGTTGTTGTTGTTCCTTGATCATCTTTATATGTTAACTTAGGCTAATTTCATTTATATAAATGATTTGGTGATGTCAGCTGATGCTGAAGAGTAGGTTGTGGTTTTCCTACCCCTCATTTTTTCCCCAGAAATCTAAGTTGAATATTTATTGATTCTTTGAGCTGTTAAGGCTTTATTTAAAAAAAAAAAAAAGAATATGTTTATAAATATCTGTAATTAATGGAAAAATTACTGTAGTATGGAAATCCAGGCAATGCATTACATGGTAATCTGTTGGTCATTAAAAGTAAGTATTTAAATATGCCTCTAAATTAGCTGAAGGGTTATGCATCAAGCAACTCTGTTTCCTGATGTTGGAGCAAAGTGGTACTAGAAGCTGAGAAGTTGTATACTGGCTATTGAAGGTGTCTGTAAAGCCTGGGGTAGGATAGGACAGGAAAAGATATGCAAATAAAATATGCATTAAAATAAACTCATTGACACTTTTCATACAGTTCAGTAACAAAATTATTTTCTCCAGTGTAGAAGCTCTCCGGAATGTTAGCCTTTTAATAATTATGGGTGGAAAGGACAGTGCTTCCTAGAATAGCTGATAGCTCCTTCTGCATGTAGGTGCAGCTCCCTAAGGGGTAACTTTCTGGATATTTTCCTTTGAAGTCGGGAGCTCAGCGCCAGAGATTTGTATCATGTAAAATCTAACTACTGTGGTTTTATTAGACCCCCCCTGAAGCCTCCTGACAACTTCTGCTTGATTTGGGGAGCAAAGCAGAACAGGACAGATAAAACTTAATTTCTTCCTGCTTCTTTGGGCTGAGTTCAGCTGTCAGCTTCTGTGAAGTGTGGCTCTGGTATCACTTACAAGATCAGGGTTTGCTGAGCTGCCTGATACTGAACTTGTTTCAAATTGGTTTGAGAGGTGACACGTAAAAACAATAGTGTAATGCTGTGTGTAAACTTCTAGGCTTGGTCAGACAGTAAGAGTTTAGTAAGACTTCTGTGCATCTTAGCAAGTAGCTCCTCAGGGAGGTGGTGCTTGAAAAGTTTCCACTTTGCTGTATGCTAGCAACCTCATTTTACTTTAGAAAAAAGCAAAAACCAATCCCCCAACCCTACACAGGAACAACTTTTAAAGTTAAGTGAGAAGAGCTGTGATGGGACAAATGCTTTTGACATTTACGTTGCTGATACATGTGTGTTCAACTGTAGAAAGAACTTGCCAGGTGTGCCAAAGGTTTTTGTCTTTAAGTTCTTCACATAAAAATTTTAACTTTTCAGGTTTTGGTGCAAGAACCCCCCATTGATTTTCCTTGTTGCTAACTTCAAAAAACCCGCAAGTGAAACTTCCTAAAATTACTATATTCACCCTCCGATGAAAACTTTCGCAGAGTAAAACATCCTTTTAAATTGTGCAAGTTTTCTTCTTCCCCAAAACATGGATCAGTTGCAAATGAAGATTCAAGTGATTACTGCACAGCTTGGAAAGCGTAGCTTTTAAACTGTACATCTCCGCCTAGAGAGGCCAGGTTATCTCTATCTTTATGCAGGCAAAATTTATACACACGTTAAGTATATAAATGCCATTAGGTGAATTGTTGCAATGTTTGATCATGAGCTGGAAAGAAATTGCAGTCTTCAGGTATTTCCGAGAACAGTGTCTCTTTAGATTAAGCTGATCCCTTGTAAATAATCAACCTATTGTCTGTGTTTCAAAGAAGGAGGTGGGAGTTCAGAGGAGTTATGTGATTATATTCAGAATTACTTCAAACACTGTCATAGGGTTTGAGTTTCCTTAAGGTAGCTGTTATATGAAGTTGGTGATAATGTGTGTATTGAGCAGTTTTATTTAAAAGGATTTAGAGAGAATTTTCTGAACTGATGGTTAAATGATGTCAGCTATGCCTCATCCATGCATCTTGGCTTTTAACTTCCCAGTGAATGTTTGAGCAATCAGTTTCATTTTGTTTCTTGTTTGTGTTGGTTTTCTCATGTGTTCCTTTAACCCTTTGCTATTTCTTCAGTATTCTTTATTTTAACATGTTCTTCTACTTTCATCTCCTAACTTCACGTACTGCCAAATTGTTACCTCCCCTATTGTAATAATCTCCATCTTCTCCAGTATATTTCTTTTATCTGTCCCACAGACAGATAGTTAAAGGAAGGAGCTGTAATGATAAATGTGCATTTTATGTGCATACTTTCTGTACCTCTGTGTACATGGGGTTGGGCTTTGGCATGGGCTGCCATATTTTTGGTAGCCTATAGTCCTGTCCTCAGTGGGATCATGGTTATGATCAGAAAGGTGCCAGGCTGGTAGCATGTAGGATCTGGGTTGCTTTAAACTCGCTTTAAGCGTAAGGAAGACTGCAAGAACCATGCCAACCCAATCCCTACCCCCAAAATCCAAGAAAATGTTCAGGTTTCATCTGGAGATCTGACTGTATTACAAGTCTAATAGTATTTAAAAAAACCCAGTGCATTTGAAATGCTAAGCAATGGAAGCATCCCCCAAAGTTTGTGTTGGTGGGATCTCTGCTGCAGATACATATGTGTTTCGTGTAATGAAAAGGCGGTGTATTTTGTACAGCCGTGTCTGGAGCTCTGCATTTGTTGTGTACAGCTCCCATAAGAGGGCATAAAGAGTGACATGGCTATGTTCTGTGCTTGGTTTCTGTCCTTGGTATCAACAAAACTATTTTTTCTCCCTTACGGTGTTCTACTTGATACTCTGTCAAACTTCAAAATTTGAAGGCTTTTTTGCCCATATGTGGATTTTTTTAAATTTTTTTTTTTATGTTTTGAAGACTTTCATCTCTTACTACCCCTTCGAACCGGATGTTTCTTTAAAGGAACAAGGAGACTTTTTTGGATAAGATGCTTTGTGTTAACTGTTTTAGTTCCTAGCAGGCTCAGCTTCCAAAGTTCAGATGCTGACTAGCTTGTAACAGGCTTTGTCTGGCATGGCTGACAGCTGCTCCAGGTGTGGTGACTCCATCTTGAGTGGACTTATTGTGTGTATCCTTTCTTCTCAAAGGCTCAAGTGCAGATAATGTTTTTTTTTGAGTCCCATCTGCCAGCTTAACCTGTGCCATATCACTTCTGACCCAGAGAAAGTGTCAGCAATGTGATCAGAGCTGTAAAAACTGCCAGACTTTTCCCTAGCAGAGGCTAGAGCTGAGAAGGCTCTAGAACTCAGAGAAAGGGAAGCGCTGAGCGCATGTGCAACCCCAGCAGACCTGCCTCTGTCCCTGGCGTACGAGTCTGGTGGACAAAGGTCAGTGCACCACATGCGAGGCTCAAGTTACGTGCAACAGTCATAACAAATAGGAGCCTAAAAGTTTGCTTGTCTGAAAGTGTCAAGTAAGCTCCATTTGGCTCCAAAGGCTGCAGTCATAACGTACCTATTAAGGAAAGGTAAATTCATACCAGTCCTGAAACTGGTGTGGGTATTTGAACCCTATGAAGAGTACAGGTGATAATCAGAACAGAAGATCTAGATGTGTTTTGTCAACTGAAATGACTCCAAATCGTTGTGTTTCAACCTGGAGTCCTGTTGTTTCAGGCAGGATTGTTCTCATTTTCCTTTCTGAACTGCATTTTCACTTGCATTGTGTAGGGGCACATCATTTTGCCTGCAGAGAGCAACTCCAAGGAAAATTATGGAGGGCATCCACTTCTTGCCTTCTTGCCCCTCACCCCCAACATCTGATCTAGCTTGTTCCCTTACAGCATGCCATTTTGGCTGTATTGGAGCCCTACTGATTGAATTGTTTATATCTGGTAACTGATGTTTGTCCCTAGGCAAGTCATCCTGCAAGACTAATACACTGTGGTTTGCTGTGCTACTAGCTAGCTGGAGTGGGTCTCTTACGGAGAGGCGAGAGGGACATTGGTGCAACTCCAGAGTCTTCAGAAATGTGTCATTTTCCAGAGTCTGTGAGGGGAAAATTGGCTGACTGGCCTTTTGGGTTTTTTGAGTCCACCTAATTTCAAGAACAAATGCCAAGTTGGAGAGCAGTATCACAATCTCTGCTTGATACAAGTCATCGCCATTATAATATTCAGTGGTGCTTTCAGTTGCCTGTGGTGGTTGTCTTGTGGTCCTGTAATTGGAGGAAGAATGCTTGCTTAGGTTGCGCTAGCCGAGGGTCCTTGAAATGTCCCTGTGATCCCCATCACCTCTAGCACCCATGTTGTTGTTGAGGCATCTTGACATGTGTTTTGAGTTCAGAGTCAGTTGGATGAAGGTCATAGCTGTCTGCTCTTTATGTGTTTCTGTGGGAGCATAAAGCTGCTCAAGCGGCTGGAGCTGTTAATACTGCAGTGTTAAAAAGTAATAGTGTATTGCATTACTTGTGTAAATGTCTCCATTGAGAGTCACACTGACTAAAACATGCTGATGGACTACAATTACCATAGGGTAAGTAATTGTTTTTCAGTAAAATAACTGATATTTTAGTGAGCAGCTTTATACATCTGCAACAAAACAGTTTTTCAGTATGTAAGCTCTAGCTATAGTTTTAAATCATAAACGTGATGGGTATACGTGATTTTCCCATGTTTCTTGAACCCTTGTCTATTTTTCTTTTTTAGATGTGCTGAAAGACATTATGACACCGCCAAATTTAACTGCAGAGGTACGTTTTTACTGCCTAGTATGTGTTCTCTTTAAATTTCAGTGTTTCTGAATGAAGGTATAAAGGAGGAGCTGATGAATAGTAATGTAGGAGATTTGGGCACAGGGAATGAATGTCAGATTGCTTTGAGTCATTGGAGAAACTTGCTATATTCTTGCAGCTTTCAGTAAGTATGTTCCTGACAGTTAACTAGATCAAGATTTAATAAGGCAACCAGAAGTCTACTGTTGCAAAAATTTTTGCGGAATGGGTTATATAAAAGTTTCTGTTCAATTCAGTGTGCAAACTTATTGTAGAATTTAGATGTGAAACTTAGAGAAGTCTGATTTTTATGCAGAAGTGTCACTTGGAATAAAAATGGAGAACACTTAAGCCACTGTCAGTATTCATATAAAACAAGTTTTTGCAGATCTGGAACAAACCTACAGTTGCTTTAAAAAAAAAATTAATTCCCATGTGGTGCCTCTTTGAGATGATTTGGTTCTTAGACACTTTGCAGAGCTACCAGAACTAATGGGGAAACTTCTAGGGGTTCCTTTTGATCAGATCCTTGGTGAGTGGAAAGTGATGTACCTGTTTTGTCAGTATTAACTCGCCAGGTAATAAATACAGATTTACCTTTATTCTTTGTGCAGAGAAACATCTCTGTGCACAATAGTAGAGCTTGTAGTTCCTCTTCATGCAATGCTTCAGAATGCTGGGTAGATAAGGAGTACTTCTGTATATGTAGTTTTAGGAGATGAATACATTTTGATCTTACTGGCTAATACTACATCATAGCAAGGGCTCAACTTCTTTTTTTTTTTATTGTTATTATTATCTTAAACCATCCTTCTAGTTATAAAGAGGGTGTTTAGAACATGACCAAAATGTAATTGGCTGCTTTAATGTCTGAATATAGAAGGACTGAAATTGTCATGTTGAAGTCATCTTCGCTTCTGATTTGCTCTTACGATGTTGAATGACAGTGTCCTGAAACCTCACTCAATACATACAAGCCAGAAAAAAAGTATTTTAAGATCTGCTTGAGCAATACTTTGGGTAAGAGGAGAAAAGGCGTAAATGAAAAGGACGTGCTTCTAATATGTCTGGAACATATGCTTGCTTTAATTTATGCTTTTTATAACGGGGGGTGCTCAGGTGCCTTCACTGTTAATCCTAATCCAAAATGTTGTTTGTGACAGCACCTTTCACAGCTCCTCTGCATAAACCAACACTGTTGTAGGGAGTTACATGTTGCATTTTTTTCTTTTCATCCCCAAATTAGTTTCCTTAGATAACCAAATTGGTGACTCAGGACTTTCCTTAGCAGAGGAACAACAGTTCTACTCTAAAAATCTTTTGAAGTGAATTAATTTCAAAGGGAACTTCTTATTTGTACACTTAGCATGAAACACTGTAGTAGTTCATTATTCAACTTGGATGCTCTTGCGTCAAATTCAAAACCAAATGTTGAAAGCTCTTCATCTTCTTTGGACGCTAGCTTTCTGTCTAGGGTTTTTGTAGTTTCTGAAGTACTTCTATGCTGGAAATTGCCTTCTGCTTTGCCACAGGCCTTCCGTTTTTGTTTTGTTTTGTTTTTTTTTCCTTTGTGTGCTGTGAGATTTTTCTTGCAATGTCCCTGAGCTTGGGGAGAATAATCAGAACAGTTCTCCATGCTGTGTGCTCCAGTGTTAGGAACCAAAATCTGTGGAGGATCTGCACGCTCCCATGGACCTGCTCAAGATTATACAGCTTAATGTTTCCTAAGGTTGCTTTCTGACTCTTAATCCCTTTGCACCATCACAGGGCATCCATTTAATCTGCTCCTCATTCCATCTTTGAAGAAAATACTGCAAGGTTTACCTTTGATCCCAAATCTTGGAGAGCATCTTCAGCATGCTGTTGCTACTTGGGATTTTTCAGGACTACTTTGTCTCTCCTTTTCAGGGGAACCTTACTGGATGTAGTTAAGATAGACTCAAAGTTGTACGGACAAATTCACAGCATCTCCTAACAGCTTCTTTTCTTAGGGGTTTCTAAAGAAATCCTTTCACTTACATCTGCTGCAAACAGTGGCATCTCTAAGTTCACATAAAACGATCATTTGGGGAGTCTTTGGATCTTCCATGTGGAAGAATTTATTAGTGTGTGTTCATATTCGTTAACCTTTGCTGCTTCTTTAGCAAAGATTATTCAGTTTTTCAGGCTTCCCTATTTGGTCTTCTGGGAGATTAAGTGGGCGGTCTGTACTGCGAGTGAATAAACTGTCCTTGCAGGTCCCTCTGAAAGGCTTTGGACTTATGCTGCAGTAATTTAGCTGTTCCATAACTTCATCCCTTACTTCTGCTCTTTAAGTCCTTGGGGATTCATCAAAAGGAGTCTTGTGTGTGACAAGGGGGTAGTACTTACGAAACGAATACAAACACTTGCCAAAAAATGAAATGTATTCATTTTTAGACCAGAAAAGGAGATGGTGTTTGTTTCTAGCTGAGAATTTTTAAGTGAAGCAGAGTTGTATTTATAAGATCCCAAGTCTGCCGATCAAGAATTGGGGTGCACTTTATAAAGTTCTGTTCTCCTGACGAAACTAGTACAGCCCTACGTAATTCTGCCAGTTAGCATGGCATTGTCTGTCATCTTATCTGAGGTGTTAGAGGTTTGGGTGCTTGTCTCTGCTTATTTCGTATTTTTTTCTCTCTAGAGTTTTCTTTCATTTCCTGCATGCTCGCTTGAAATTCTTTCCATCTCTAAATGGAAAAAAGTGCTTGTGTGCGTGTTTATATTCATGTAAGAAAAAGGACAACTTCGTTCAGGGGTTTGACTTTAAAACCTAGAAGTATTGCAAGTGCCTTACATGAGATTTCTTTTTCGATTACCATTTTTTAATATGGAAATTGCAGGGTTTTATTTCAAAACCACTTTGAGCAAATTCTGAGAGTTTGTTCCCAATGTAGACCCAACTGTGCTCAGAATTTTTCAGCAAAATTCCTATTGTCTGATCAGTGACTGCGGTCTGGCCCTGTTTTCTCTCAGCAGGTAGTCTAATTATTGCTAGAGTAATGGGTTTTCACAAGGTTATTCTTTGTGCCAATGCACTCTTAAATTCTAGAAAATTCGTGATTTAAGATACAAAGTCTGTGCCACTCATTTCAGTAGCGGTGTGAAATAGTCTCTTCATGTAGCAGGATGCTTGCTTATGTATTACTAGACAAATGTCTGCAATGCATATAATAGGCAGTACATTGCTGAATAGTATTGGAATAAAAAATTTATCTATATGAAACACAGGGGGGTTTATTTAGAAAGTTAATTTTTTGCATGCTTGTCACAAAGTTGACCTGTCTAGTTGAGCTTGCTGTGATTTCCTTTTGAGATTTTGATAAATTACTTCTCATTGCAGTTGCACAGTACCCTTTTGAAGACCATAACCCACCACAGCTAGAGCTTATCAAACCTTTTTGTGAAGATCTTGACCAATGGCTAAGTGAAGATGACAATCATGTTGCAGCAATCCACTGTAAAGCTGGAAAGGGACGAACTGGTGTAATGATATGTGCATATTTGTTGCATCGAGGCAAGTTTTTAAAGGCTCAAGAAGCCCTAGATTTCTATGGGGAAGTAAGGACCAGAGACAAGAAGGTGAGCTATTTTCTGTTCGTCTGTTCTCCTGCCTGTATATGCTTTTCCGGCTTGAGGTCGACTTGAATAGTCAAGCCCTTTAAGAAATACTTTCCATCAGTTGTGATATCTGGTTTGATTTTGCTTTAACATTATTGGATCAGTGCAGTTGTCCTAAATGAAAAAGCTTGCCTAAGCAGCACTAGCAATTAGTCACAACACTAAAACAATCTGGTTTTTCCATCTCCTGTTCAAGAAGATCTGGACAGTTTATTTTAAATAGCCTTTTAAATAGCATTCTGCTGTGTGTTGCATCAAATAGGCGGTTGATGAGTTCAGCATTTTCAGCCCAAATAAGAGGATTATTCTAGCTTGTTTTGCCTGAATGGATGAGTTGTTCATCTCCTCAGGTTCTCTTAACTTCTGTGGTGGTGTTCGGAGATGCATAGTCATTACAGTGCATGTTACAATTGAATATCCCTACTGGAAGAGTCTGTTGTTGGATGCCCCTTTTCAATAAAAGGGTAGTTAAGCCCAGACATTGGCTGCCTTGGAGCCTGCTTCATGAGGTGCTGCCATTTAGTTTCTTATACTTCTCCTGAGGAGAAATGGGAGGATCTCATTTCAGAGAAATGATGTTCATGGCTACAAGAGCTTTCTGTTAAGACCTTGTCAGTGGTATAGACAGACTTAGCAGTAGTTGTATGTTGGACCTTTCTGGCATGGTTATGCCTCATTAATGGGAATTTAACCTCCTTATTTGAAATCTTCTCCAAATGTAATAAGGTGTGACTTGCAAGGTCACTTCAGCAGGCTTCCCTGCTCATCTTCCATCATTTCCTTGTGTATGTTAGTAGAGCAGCCCAGGGGGATCATCCTGGCAGGCCAGTTTCAGCCTACACAAGTACAGAGCTCTCTGTGTTCCTGTAATATTTGCATGAAGTATTAATTTCACAGTATGTAGACCTCTAATAAGCAGAGCTTCATGTTTGAAGGCTCTTGAGAGCAGAAGTGTCACATAAGGAATTCTAGAATTTGGCTGTTAATTCATTGGAAGGAGAAAATAACTTCTCAGTTCGCTCTCTTTACAAGATGGAGCTGTTATTCCATGTAACTGCTGAGAAGGTATTTGTGTTGTTATACTAATGCGGAGACAGTGTTAAGGTTTCCCATCAAAACTTTGTGGCTTTTGGTAAGAGTGCATGATAGTGAATAGGAATGAGCTGTGTGATGAATAAACAGTGTAGATTACTCCTGCTGATAAAGATTATCTAAAGAGCCAGATAAAATATCATGAAAACTACAAAACTTAAATAGAGGGTGAAGCATGTTGTACCTCAGTTTCCCTTCTGTTAGAAGAGGGTAGTATTTCTGCACGTTAGCGTGTTGAGGGTAAGGTCAGTTAGGTGTTCATCAGTACCCCAGGCATGGTTGAGGTAAAGGAGAACTTTATAAACAGGAATAGTGAGAGCCTTGTTTAGATTCACTGTAAATATTGCCTGTAACCAGCAACTTTGTTTTGGTTTTTGATGTCTCTACTGGAAGAGTTGGTTTTGGTATTTTTTTGTTGGTTTTTTTTTTCCCCAGCACCACTTGAGCATGGTTATCTTTATGTGGACAGTGGGCAGCATGTGATTCACATAATCCTTAAAGTAGTGTTTATAAACAGGTATTCCAGTGCAGGTTCTGGGAGTGTTTTCTTCCCTTGTGGCCCATATTTCAGTGTTATATGTCAAGTGCTGCTTTCTGATCTGACCCTTCACCACACCTTTATATAATTGACTTCCTGAACTCAAAGTAATTGAGGCATCCGAAGAGCTGTTAGGACCTAGAGACAGGAAAATGCCTTTTTTTTGTTGTTGTTTTGTTTTGTTTTTGTTGCTGGACCAACATGTGTATGATGAAGGAAACTGGTTTTAATTAGGTACCGAAGTTTCTTCATTTAAAGCAAGCACAAGGGGCGCACTTTGTATATAGCTGCTCAGAACAGTATGGCTAAAATCGCTGTTGCCACTAATGTGCGTGGCAGAGTGCTTCTTCAGAGGGTTTAGTCCATGCCAGCAGGAAGTGTGAGTCTAATTGCCAGAGGAAGTATGACTAATTGGTCAAGAGAACAACTTTGAGTACTTTTGTAGCAAGCTTTTCACAAGTGCCTGCTGGGAGAAGAAGCTTCAGAGAGGCCTTTGCAACATTAAGTGAGAGTTGTAGATGAGGCTGACAGTTGCTAGATAGTCTGTTAATGTAGTGTCATCCTGGAAAAGGTAGTGGGGAATAAGACACTGCAGAACTGAGTCTAAAAGTCTGTCTCTGACCAAAACCTGTTGGTCTGGGGTTTTTTTCCCTCTGTATGCTGCCTCTTTTGACTTCCGTAACTCATCCTAGTGGTGGGAACTTTTTCAGAAGAAGGAAGTGAAGATTAGAAAGTATTGGCTAAATGGTTGTTGTCTATCAGTCACCACCACTGTAGTAGAACAGGACTGATTTCTATTTTCTCTTTGAACCAAGGAAGAAAAACTGTTTTCTGAAATTGGATAAAGAACTGTAATTGTCCAGCCTGTTTTTAGAGCCGGGGGAGAAGTAAACCCCCCAAAAAAGTCTTCTAAAAAAGCTGCTGCTTCCAGTGTTTGAAATGGTTAGCTTATCACCCGCTTTTCCCTTAAGATGCACGCGGAAACACTACTGTGACGATGAAGACTGACAACTTACTTTCATACAGCTGGAGAAGGTCTTTATTGATTCCTGTGTCTGCCTTGAAGGGTTTTATGGTGAGGATTAGACTTGGAAGGAAACATAGTCTACTCAACGGATAGGTATCAGCTGGGAACAGCTATTGAAGTGCTGGAGCTGGAGATTATCCATTCAGGAACATTCTTTGACCGTCATACTGTTGTATTTTTAGGAATGGCTCCTCATAGTGGTGTAACTGAACAGGAAATAGAAACCAATTATTTTGTGTGAGGAAGTCTCAGAATGACTCTTTGAGCAGGGTAGATATCCAATGTCTTATGTGTCAGAGCTGATCAGTTGTGATGCCTGTTTCTTCGATGTACTCGGTTGACAACCTCTGCTAAACCAGATGCCATAAGCCTAGTCTGAGGTTGCAGCTTTAGCTTCACTCTCACAGTAGGGCATGTTATTAAAGTGAATGTGGGAGTATTGCTTCCAAAAATGTTTGTTCTTCATAATACTGCCTGTGCTATATTGAGAGGAGAACCAGGAGCAGCACCTGACAGTTTTTGTGATGTCTACACAGCTCAGTAGCTTCACAGTGCCCTGTGAAACTCTGGCATAGAGACTAGAGAAGCTTATCTAATGTCCATTTAAAAAATTATGATGGTGATAGATGGGCAATGTAAGCTTCTTGAGGAGAAAGTACTTAAACTGCCTCCTTGTTCTTTATTCTTCTTGAGTAAAAGTGGGGATTGATTGCACCTCACTGAATATTAGCTTGTTATGAAAGTGTTCTGCTTTGAAATCAAACCTTTGGAAAATGGAGGACTTTCTGTTCTGCTTCAGTGTGGCTGGTTCTTAGGATCTCAGGGTAAAGGCTGTGTCTCCAGGGGGTAAAAATCTCTGGCTGGAGGGATAAAACTGCCACCTTGGCTGAGAACTGGTTTTGCTTTGAGATTGAGTATCACTTTACATAGCCACAAAAGTGACTGTGTTCCCTTCATTCTGGTCCCAGCCCTGGTTGTCCTGATAAGGTGTGCTGGGGTTTCTCCATGGGGCACATCCTTTACAGCATGAAAAAGCTATGAGCGGAGAAGGATGTGTTTTCCTTACCTGCCTGGTTTTCTTCTGATTGGCAGCATTGGCAAATTACTGATGGTTTGCTCTGAGGTTGGTGTTTTCTTAGTCATGAAGCTCAGGTCCCAGGAAAGCAAACTTTAAAGCTCCCCTAAGGAGTGGGTCTGATAACTACTGAGATGACATCTGAACCAAAACCATGGTCGGTGTACAAGGCTGCTTAAGATCATCATTGTAGAAGTGCTGTAGGGAAAAGTCTTTTGTGTAATTTAGAAACAGCTGAAGTGGTAAGGTGACATAATTATCAACGCTTTTTAAAAATAATGGCAGGAAGTTATTATTTTCATGTGCTTGCTAAATTAGAAGTGCTGTGGCCACTCTTAGCTTATGGCTGTTGTAAAGTGAAGCAGGTATTGGAACAGTTTATAGAAAATACTGTGTTCCAGGTTTTGTAACCAAAATGCTCATAGACTCTTCTATGAAAACCTGTTTATCGCAATTTCACATATAGTTTTAGTATGAAAGTTTACATACTGATGCTGTTGCAAGTATACTGTATGGATTGTTATAAACTGTGTAATGCATTTTCTAGGAAATTAAATTATTTTTCATCTTTATCACTTTTGCTTAAAAATGTTAGCCTCAAGAGCTTTAAAACTATTCCCTTACTTGAAGTTCAAGTTGATTTAAAATCAGTAATCATAATGTTCTTTGGTTATATGTTCTCAAAGCAAGTGTTTACTTCAGAGTTGCAGTTCAACTGAGGAGTCCTTCATTTAACAGTTTGGGCTCTTTGGCCTGTATTCATGAAGCTTTCCACTTCTGGTTTTTGTGAAAACATTTCAGAAGGGCATTTTTTAATAGAAGGTAGTGTCAGTCTTGAATACAGTGATATTAGCAAACAAAATTAGAATCTCTTGACTTAAAACTGTTGTCAAAATGTACTTCCTGTATTGGTGCTTAAAAATTAGAGTATGTTCAAAGCACCACCTGCTTAACTCCCCAGCCCAAGAAAAAGCGGCAGCATGAAAGCATCTTTTACATGACCCTCAGGGTGTCTGAGGTGTTTGTTTTTAAGATATGGAAAAATCTGCATTCTTTGCCTCATTGCTTGGGGTGGATGTTTGGAGATACATACTAAAGTAACTGGAAAACCAGTGTCCTGCTTGTTCTGTGCTGGGGACTGGTCGGTTAATTGCCTGGTGTTAGATAATGCATGCAAACAGCTTCCTCTTAAACGCTCGGCGGGACAAGTACAAAAGATGTGGACACGTGTCTAGGGAAAAGGGGAATGCGTACAGAGGCTGTTTTGGGGAATGGTTTGGAGGTGGATTATGTCTTTGCTAGTCCTTAAGGTGCCCAGGATGGTCCACAATGAAGAAATTGTTGAGGGTTGTCACAAGTTACTGTACCAAAAACCTGCATGTCTGGGTTTCTGTACAGTGTAGGAAGCAGTGCAGCAATCCCCTGCTTTCTAGATACACCCAGCTTAGATGCTTTACTCTGTGTGCTGGTCTCCAGTGTAGCTGCTGAGGTATACTCAGCATAAATCGTGATCGTTTATTCCAGGTGCTCTAGCTACCTTTTCATTTGTGGTTTATTTGCCTTTAGTTATATTCTGACGTAATGGGCAGGAGCTCTGTTAGTGATGCTAATAAATGGTCTTGATGATTTTTGACATTTGTTTTCCCTCTGTTTAGGGAGTGACAATTCCCAGTCAGAGACGCTACGTGTACTACTATAGCTACCTGTTAAAGAATCACCTGGATTACAGACCAGTGGCACTGCTGTTTCACAAGATGATGTTTGAAACAATTCCCATGTTCAGCAGCGGAACTTGCAGTAAGTACCCAGCACCCTGTTTACCTCCGTTAGCTCTCGTAAGGAAACACAGCGGCCTTTGAACTTGGTTTGGTTATGTGATGGTTGCCGTTCTGTTATGTGACACGAAGAGCTGCACACCTTGATCGAGGAGATCATACTTAAACACTTCACGTTCCAAAATCTGCTGGGTTAGTGTGGTCTATTTGCTAGCATCCTCCCAGATGTAGTAACTTGAGGTCTGTGAAGGACTCATATGGTTGTTTCACTACAGTTTTAAATTGGGAAGTATTTAATGGTTTGAAGATAAGTGATGCCATATATATATATATTTGGATATTTGCTCCTTTTATAAAAAGCCTTTTTTTTTTTAATATAGCAGCTCTTGAGAAACATGAATTGCTGAAAAACATTTGCTTAATGGCGTGTTGGCTTCAAATACAGCAACATCATTCTTCCCATGATGTTTAAAAAAAAAATCGGTTCAACTGGGTAAATATCTAATTCACTCTGGAATAAACTTTTCTTTATATGAAGGCTTGTAAAGTATTAATACACCTGTAAATGATTAATCTGGTTTGCTGATACACAGTGTGTTAGTAAGGAACAGCAGATTCCTTGAAACTTTGAAGTATAAATATGAATTCACTTCTGCCCTTCTGTGGGCTGCATTACAGGGCAGTAACTGCCTAGTGTTGTGTGTTCATTTTTTGTTAGTGGAAAAAGTCTTTCTAATGGTTTTGCTATGGGGATTACTGCAGTGTGTAATTAATTCCAGTGCCTCCTGTGGCTTTGATTAAAACTGCACTATTAATATTGTTGTAAGACAGTACCTGAACATGTAATGCACATAAGAAGCAATCAAGCAACTTGTCAGGCTAGCTACCTGTCAGGCTAGCTGTATTTACAGGAGGAGGAGGAGGAAGGGAGGAGCCTCTGCCAAAAAACCTCTGCCTCTAGGGTAGAAGTGTGGAGGTTACAGATTTCTGCAACTACCACTTATTTAATGTTTTGGATAAACTGTGCTGTACTTGCGAAATCAAGCTGCAAGTATGAATTGCTCGCGTGAGCATTAACTCATTTGTCCGTACCAGGCTGTTAGCATGCTATTTTCACAGTAGGATGTTGGCATAAACAAAAGATTTGCTAAGCACCTGAGAAGATAGAGTAACTGTCAACTTCAGCTTCTTTGTGTACCACAATATTTTATGTTTCTGTGGAGTTTTCAGTGATTATTCAGAATGTGAAACCAATGGTCTGTGTTATTTCTTAGTCGTGTTATCTACTGCAATGGTAGTAATTTTACCTACACGATAACTGTAAATCTGACTTCCTTGCTATCTTCCTTCTGTTTTAAAGTCACTGACCAAGCAGAGTCATGCCTCTCGGGCAAAACGAAGGGATGACAGGATTTTATGGCTCTGAGGATTTGAGGGAGATAAGTAGCAGTTTTATAGCTAGCCATTCAGCGAGATAGTGTGGGTAAGCCCTGCAGGGACTTCCAGAGCTCTGCAGGGGTGGTTTCAGGGTGGCTACGGACTCTATGGCAGGGTATGGTTCAATATGTATTGTCTAGAGAGCAGTCTGCATCTGATTCTAACAGAAATCAGGAGCAACTGCAGAAAGACCTCTTCAGATAAGTTTCATTTAATATTTCTGGCTTTCATGCTGGTGTCTGGCAGTTTCCAAAGAAAATCTGCTTAGGCTGTACCAAAAAACCCTTATAACTTCAGTTGTTACCCTTGCAGATTTAATTTGGAAAGTTACGCCATAGCTGGCAGTTTTTTGGTGATGGTGATTTACAGGACAGACTTATGGTCTGTGTCTGTATAGTCTGTCGGTGCTGGTTGGTTTGTGATTAATGTTAAATTTTGTCCTTGTTTTTGTTTGTATAACAGTTCTGTTTGTGTGAGTGTAGAAATCAGTTTGTGCTGACGTGACTGCCCACTCTGCAATTCAAAGAAGAGATGAGAGAGAATAAAACTTCTCAGTTACATCCATATAATAGAGATGAGAGGCAATATGCAAGGAAAAGTCAAGAAGTTGTCACTTCATACAGTCGTTTCTTATTATATTAAAGAGAAACAGCAACTTTCTAGGAACCCTATGGTTGCCTGAGAGTATTGCTACAAAGGACAGAAATATGTTAGGTTGTTTCCAGTAATCTCTAGCAAAGTTTGATGCCCTGCTGTACTTAACTTTTAACAGATGCTTATTTAACTTTCAGAATATCATAGCTCATGATTGTGATTCTGATACTAATATTGTGCTTTTTGACACTTCAAGACATTTCTTACGAAGTGACACTCTGTTTTGCCATGCAGATCCTCAGTTTGTGGTGTACCAGCTAAAGGTAAAGATATTCACCTCCCCTTCAGGACCCTCAAGACGTGAAGACAAGTATATGTACTTTGAATTCCCTCAACCGTTGCCGGTATGCGGTGATATCAAAGTGGAATTTTTCCACAAACAGAACAAGATGTTGAAAAAGGTTGGTTTTCTTGCTTTTCTGGAAAATGTTGTTGAGGCAATGCTGATGCAGGGCTGGGATGTTGGTTATTCTTCAGTGACGTGTAATCACAGTATTTAATTCTTTGATGTCTAGTTTTCCCAAGGAGAGAATCTACCACAAAATGAAAGCTGGATATTTTGAGAGTTGGTGAGATTGATACAAAGGTTGGATAAAAATTATACTGGATACATATTGCAGTCGTTTGGGTAGTAGTGAGTAATCTAATTGAGGAAGAAACATTCTTATGCTAAAAATAGCCTTGCATACTGAGCAAGTTAACTCCAGCTGTTTTCTGCACTAAATTTTCCTAAGGTTTGAGCAAGCGCAGAAGATCCTGTCTGTGTGCTGTTGGCCGATGTCTACCCATCTGTCAAATTTGGTTGAATTTCTGAGATAATTGAGTTCCTACGCACTTTCTGAAAGTATCTCTGCAATCTATTCAGCTATCTCTTGGTTCCCAGCTGCAATGCCTTGACAGTAGACATTTAGAGAATTCACTCGGAAGTGAGAATTTTATTAGTGTCTCAGTTGTGGAAAAAATTAATCTAGAACTTGTTTTGACACCAAAGTCAACAGGTTCTTAAAGATGAATGTTTCATCACTGGGTTTCATTAATTCTGGTGTTTGTGGAGCTAGTTTGCATCTACCAAAGTGAAAGGTGAGGGTGAGACCACGTTGATTAAAGGCTACCTTTGTATAGAGTCATTTAGGTTGGAAAAGACCTTCAAGATCGTCGAGTCCAACCATCATCCATGCCCACTAAACCATGTTCTGGAGTAAAGAATTTACTACTTAAAATTCTTTATGGATAGTTGCTCACTATTTAATGGATGTTATAAAACTTAAGAGCATCACTGAGTGAATCCTGTGTACAGGCAAAGCATGAAAATAAGAGTGGACTGGGAGACAAGCATAAATGATGAGATAACACAGTCTCTTATAACTGTGCATGCAGGTTGTACCTGCTAGATATGTGTCTAAATACACATGCATGCTATTTTGTGGGCTTGTTCAGTTACAGGGTATTGTTAACTAGTCTAATGGTGTAATTTCGCTAGCTGGAAATGTCGTGTTCTGTTGTTTGCTATGCACTGATGTCTGCAAAATTTTTAAACAGTTTCTTAATGGGAATATTTTCTTCTGCCTTTTGTCATGAGTTGTTTTACTTGGTCAATGTGGCTATATGCAATACAAAGAACTGCAAAACAAAGCATTTTAAAAGTAGAAATTCTGCTTTAAGTTAACATTAAAATTACTGGTGTTTAAAACTGCAATGCACAGGAGCCAGTTTTGCGAATAGACTTTTAAAGGAGCACACAGATAAGTACTGTGGACTAGACATGAGGGATGCAGGGAGGAGATGAAAGAAAACCCAAACATCTGAGACAAGGTCCTGTTTTATCTGGTCTCTGTGCTAGCTTAACTGTGAATTTGTTGTTTCCTTACCATCTTCAGTAACACATGGATTGTGAATGGACTTTGTAGGAAGCATTGTGCTGCGCTGTCCCTCCCCAAGTAAGCCCCTGAAACATTAGTGCTCAGCTCGGATGCTGGATCTTGGCTCTGTAGCACCAGGAATGAATCCTGTATTTGTTTTACGTCTGTAGAGAGCACTGAGATCCAGTGACAGCATAAACTAGAGCTCCTCATTATCGCATACAATTTCTGTAGCATAAATTCAGTCTTCAAGAGTGTGTAAAATTGTCTACAGAAACGCAGCAAACATGTTACTATGCTGTAGTTTCATTTCAGAGTGTCATATCAGCCATGGTTTCATTTCTTAAGAATCTCTGTAGTTTCTGAGTAGCTGGTTGATTATTTTTTTTTCTTTTTGTATATTCTTAAGAAGTACCCTTAACTATTCAGGTTCTGTGGATTACAGATAGTGCAGAGATGCTCCTTTTCTTGGTGTTTTTGGACTGCTAGGGCCAAGAAATGCTGAGATGGTGAAAGCTCTTCTTTCCACATCTGCAAGCTTTTCTGAGAGATAGAAGCTGTCCCTTCACCAGATGGAAGTCTTTTGTAAAGAAACTGCCTTGATAATCTGCTTCAAAGATTTGTTGAACCTGGTGTCTAACTGCCCTCAGCCTTGTGTAAGAATGGAGGGCAAAAGAAAGTAGGTATGTGGTGTTACACAGTTGTGGTAAGACCACCTCTGTTAGCTCTACTGTAAATGCAGACATGAATGGAGGGCATATGGGACTGGGTCCGTGGATCCTCCCAGATGTAAGCATGTTAGTCTCTTTTACAAAACCACTGCTGAGGTCTTCATATTGAGAATTAGTGAAATATTCCATCTCTGACATGTGCTTTGGCAGTAGAGGAGATCCTTCCTACGTGGTTCTTTTGACAACTTGTTATGTAAAGTAACTAAGATGGGAATAGGGCAAAGGTGAATATTTGTGGCAGAAAACCTACCTTGGCACAAAGTTGAACACATTTCTCTGTACAAGTGTTTCACATCTGTGCCTGTTCCTTTTCTAGATAAACTGACTCTATGCAGTTTTTACTCAAAACCCCAAAAGAGAGGGCCTTCCACTGTGGAGACTTGTTGCATTTTGGAGAAGATCATGTCTATAGAATGATCATCTAATTAATGAGGAACAGCGTAGTTAGGAGTAACAGGATCTTATCTTTCAGAGATTCTGGTTTATTCACGTGTGTTTATGAAAGCTGGAATTACAGGTCTGTTGCCTGTCACTGCTTCTTGCTCTTCTAAGGTTTTCTGTTAGCAGATTTATAGGTAGCTGCTAAACAAGTTTTCTTGCACACAGTTAAAAGGCATCACATATCTGCCAATCTGCATTTTAACTTTCTGTAAGAAACCTAATCAGAAAACTAACAACATTAATTAAAAGTGTAATTCTCAATCCATTCTGGGCCTCAGGCTGGAGAATGGCCATGTCTCATCTCTGGAGATAAAGGAAGCTTCTGTGTCCTCCTCCCGGGTCTGGTTTGGTGTTTGATACCAGTGATCTCAGCTAAGTGCTCCAGATTTGCTCACCTGTACTTGCTTTCAAATTTCTTAATTCTCTGAAGAACAGTAGCAGAGCTCTCTAGTATGGAGGGTCCTCCTCAACTTTGATTAAGCTCTTCTTGGATAAAATTATTGTGCATGAAACAAAACAAACTTGAATGACCAAATGACTTTAAGCACGTAGCATTGCAGTGTCAATGTGAAATTTAAAGCAGTCAAGTGTCATGGGGTTTTTAATGGCAAAACTTAATTTAAGCAAATTTGGTGGCTAGGGAGAGCTGGCCTCAGCCAAAGGATTATTGGTGCTGGTGAGAAGATGTTGGTAAGAGGGTGACTGCTTTGAAAAAGTTACCCTGTTTCAGCTCTTCCATAATCTGTTCCACCTGGCATCAGTTAGTAAGTCCACAGCTTTTGGTCTTTTCTTGTCTAATAAAGTTGTTTATTTTATTCTTGGACTGTTTCTTCAGTATGATGTGGCTGCTTCCTTTCAAGAATGAAATGCATGCTGATATGAGAACAAAATGGTTTGAGGCTTGAGTACAGTTATGTATAAATTTTTGATGCATAGAATTTAGTAATTTGGTTGGGAGGGGGGGTCGGGGCTAAGCATGGATTTTTTTTCTCTGACTTGTAGCTTGGCTATTCTTCCATCTCAGACTGCAGACTGCTGCTGTAGTCTCTCTAGGTTTGCACTTCCATGTATCTGTGTGAAGCCTTTTTCTTCCAGTTACTGATGTTGACATGATAATCTTAAAGAGAATATCCTTATATCACTTGGTTCAATGAGAGTCTGTTTAAAAATAATACAGAAGCTCTCGTAATTTTCTGCCTGCAGAGCCTGGGGGTAAAGGAAACCTTTTTCTGGAGTCCTCCCAGTACAGATGAGAGGGAAACGGTGGTGTGGGTTTTTTGTAAATCACTGCTGTTCTATACCCAGACTGTAGCGTAGGCAGGGCTGACAGCACTGTTTCAGCTGTTGGGTATGCCATTTCATCTTTTGAGTCTGTATAGATAAGTTTTGCTACACAGTTCAAGAGAACTTTGGGTGATTGCTGTTTAGCAAACACTGAAGAATGAACTCTGAAAATGTCAAAAGACTTTAATCGTTGATTTGAAAATGGTACAAGAAGTTCCGTCAGCCGTGACTACAGGAAGGCTGTGAGGCCAGCGTGGAACAGGTTGAAACATGGTCTCCATCTTCTGATTGCTGGATAGCATCTCCAAAACCCTTAGCTGGTGCTGCAAAGTGATTGTAAGTGCCTGTAGATTTCTCCACAAAATTAAACTCTCAGGAGGATATGGGAACTCCTAGCTGATGCCTTAATGATCTTGGATTTGGATCTCAGTTTGCAGTTAGAGGCAGATATTGGCTCTAGAGTGAGGTATATTTTTCTGTCAGTCTGAGAACTGAAAAACTGTACAAGGTTGGGATAAGTATTGTATGTCAAAATAGTGTGATTAAATCAGCTTCTGTCTCAAGTGTCTGATACTCTACCATAGATTTTATGATACAGATTTGGTTATGGGAAGAAATATATCTGTGATTTTTTTTTTTTTTTTAAGGCAGATGCCTGTGATGTAACTGGAAGTGAAGCAAGACACATTCAAAAAAAGCCTCTAGCTAATACTTGTTTTCAGAAGCCTATTCATTAAATTGTATTCTTGTGAGCACTTGATCTGGTATTCTGATTTGCTATATAAAGCCCAAGTTCAGTTCATGCCTTGATTTTTAAAATTGCTGTCTTTGGCCCATATTACATCAACTTTCTTCATTGTCTCCCATGAAATATCTTGGAGCCTGATGCTTTAGCTGAAGCTGGCTGAATCGTCACTTTGAATAATGAGTTTTGTTTTTCAGTGAAAGCACTGACACAGTTACCAACCTTAAGAGCCAATTCCAAAAAACATGACCAAGTCTTCCCTCAATTTGAGCGGCCGTGCCGTGTTCAGTACCCATGAACTTAGTTTATTAAGCTAATTAAGTTAGTATAGTGGGAAAGGAAGGAAAATAACTTGATGCTTTGAAAAGCTGGAGGGAGATAAAAGGATACATGACCAGTTCAGCCAAGTCTTATTGTTTAGTTTGAGTCCCTGAAGACCTCTGCAAATTTATCCCAAGGAAAACAGAGTAAAAGATGTCTAGTGAGAAGTTTGTTGCCTGTCTTGTCTTCTCCAGATTCTATCAGTAAAGCTGAGTCCTCGCAATTGCTTGTTCAGGCAGGCCCTTAAGTGCCAAGTAAATCCTTCCTGGTTCTGCTCCACCTGATGAAGTTTAAGGTGAGGCGTGACAAGACCATGCCTCCTGCTTCTGCTGGCATTGGTTTACATCCAGTGGCCTTGTTTGCTTTGGCACTGCTTTCCTCCAGAGCTGCTTCAGCACTATTGATATAGGTATTTTTCATCCCATCTGCTGCAGCGTGTTCAACAGCTTTGTCCTCTCTTCTGCTGACCTCACTGCTGGTGTCATGTGTGGCACTGAGGACCAGCACCAAAGTGCATTGCTGCTTCTGCGTTGTGGTCCTGAAGAAGGATGAAATGTAGTGGTACCATTACCCCAGCTACAGGAGGTGGGATGTCCCTTAACTGTGGTCACGGTGTGGAAAGGCGCTTTCTTCTCTAAATCCTCACTGGAAGGATGGCCTCTTCACCAGTTGTGAGACTGCAGGTGGTATATCCACCTGCTTACAGAGCTGTCGGGTGCTGGAAACATCAGCTCAGGCTTGCCTTTTCCTGCTCTTTATTGCAGGCGGCACCTGGACTCCAAAGCGCTCTTGTTCTGCAGCTGGAAAGCTGATGCCATTGGTTGTTTCTGTTTTGACCTGAACTGGTCTTTTGGTTTGAGCAGGAGTAGCCGTCTCATCTCCTTTGAGGACTATGTATCTTTTGAGGGACTCATCATGTGAGCATAGGAGGAGCCTGGACCAGGTGACCCTGAAGATGTCTTCTTGGGGATTTTGCCTACTGCCACTTTCTTCATGAGACATCAGCAGGCAGACTGATGACTCGGAGCATTACAGCAAAATAAACCTTCTTGCCCAGGATGTCCATCCTGTACTTCCAGATCCAGGGGTGGGTGTTTTTAAGACTGTTTCTGAGGTAGTAGTGGTGAAGAAGAGGAGGGTGCTAAGTGTATTGAGCAGTTTGGGCCTGGCAAGAACCTGCTGACTGCTGCCTTGCATGGATGGGCTCCAACAAGGTTTCTTCATAGATGTGATGGCTTGAAGGGACTTGGTGGCAGTGGCAAACATCTGCTAGTCTCCCAAGACAACTGTAATTACAGCATGTTAATTTGGTAGATTAACTTGATTCCCAAAGGTACTGGAGAGGCATGCACTGAAGTGGATAACTTCTTAACTACCAGAAGTGTTTCTGACTGAATTATTTAACTTTTGTCTTTGCTGTTGCACTTCCTTACAGGCTGGGGGTCTCTTAAGTTCTTGTAGAAATGCACACAAGCTGGAAGTATTTTTGTATGCTTTACCTAAAATACTGAAAATGGATCTACTGACCTTTGGTAGAGAAGGCAGGTAGAAGTTCTTTCATCAGACACTTCTGAATTCCCAGTATTTGTGTGTGTATGTGTTTTTATTCATTTGTGAGGAAGAAGAATGTAAGTTAAGCAGTAGTCCAGGTCTTCCCTGCCCCCTTCTTGTTGGCCCCAGAAAATGTTGTGATATTTTGCTGGTGCCAAATTGCCTGCAGCAGGGAGGCATGCTCATATGATACGCACTAGAACCACTCTGTTCCACCTCTGATTCCTCCCTTACTTACCAGCAGAGGTGAATAGCTAGGAAGATGGGGCAGGACCTGGGTTTTCCAATAAGAAATTGGAATTAGATCTCTCTGGTAAACCAAAGTATGTAAATTAGCTCAGAAGGAGTTGGTTTGTTTACTGGTCCTGTATAGTACCAAGGAATGTTAGATTCTGGTATGTGCTAGCTTTGTCACCCTTGCAGCTTTAACAAAAATGCAGAAATACTAGCTATTGTGGGAAGGCTGGCCATTTGCACTTTGGATCTTTTGCCTGAGAACTCAAATCAGAGTAAAACAGAAGGTTTCATTTGTAAAGAGGAAGTACATGTAGCTCAGTTTCAGATGGAGAACTGCTTAATGTGCTAGTCAGGACCAGTCTGCTAATGGTAGTTGATCTTGGAAACATCAACTCTTCACTGATAAAAGTGTGGCAAGTGATGGAGAACTAAAACAAGAGCATTCAGCGCATCATATGGAGCTGTTTAGCTGAGAGCTTAAAGGTGAAGTTCCTGGGCATGCCATTTTCAGGGGTTGGCTGGCCAAGAGCAAAATGTTGCTGCTTGTTCAGTAGCACATACGGAGATAGACACTCACAATGACCCTGCTAGTCATAAGAAGCATGTAATATACTGGCTGATAACAGCTAGTTTTCCAGTGACTTTTTAAAATCACTGATACATTTGTATTTTGCCTCTTTATGCAGGTATACCTGTTGCAGTGTTATAGTGGATAATCTAACTTGCACCTTTGCAGCTGTTGATGGTCATCTGTCAAGTTCTGCTTAAGTTGAATATACTTAAACTGTCAGTGCCTCATCTTCTCATTAAAAACTTCCTGCTGAGTAGAAGGACAGCAGACACTTTCAGAGTCTGACTTGCTCTTAGTACCAGCAAACATCTGACTGGTAGAAACCGCCTCCATGAAGCAGTAATGAATCCACTGCAATAGGAGTCCTGTATTTGTAGGGTGGTTTTATTCAATTACAGCTATTTCTGTATAAAAACAAAGCATTGTGTTATGCAGGAAGCTATGGGGGAAGATGTTCTCTATTGATAAATACCACTCACCTAAGCTGGTTTGCACAGGTTGTCTGTTGGGTTTGGCTACTGCTTGGCAAGGTACGAGCAAAAAAATCTCTATGCCTTGTGATTACAAGTTTAACACTTGTTTAATTCATTGTCATCTGCTTTATTTGTAGGTATGACAGATTGTTTTAAAACCAACTTTTGATAAGGAGTGACTTCTGAAAGCTTAATTGGTTAAAATTGAGTTTGATTAATGCAGATTTTTGCGTATTGTCTAGGACAATTGGTGAAAATGTCTTTGCATGCAATGTAATCAATGATGTACTGTTGTCCAAACAAGTTTTGTCTGATATTACCAATTTGGTCTTGACCAGATGATGCTATTAGTCTAATTAATGTGCCACTAGTCAATACTAAAGCAAGCTTGTTCTTTGTGTTCTTCCTTCCCCAGGACAAAATGTTTCACTTTTGGGTAAATACATTCTTCATAGGACTGGATGAAAATTCAGACAAAGTAGAAAATGGAAGTCTAGTTGCAGATCAGGAACTTGATGGTATTTTCAGTACAGAGCGCTCAGATAATGATAAGGAATATTTAATCCTTACATTAACAAAAAACGATCTAGACAAAGCAAATAAAGACAAAGCCAACAGATATTTCTCTCCAAACTTCAAGGTCAGTATATATTATGTGTAAACAAAGCTGAAAAGCTGCATGACGTTATCTGATTTGTCTGTCTTGCCTTATGGAGGAACCATTTGAAACTGCTATCTATGTAGAAATTGAATTAATGTATTAGTATTGCCACTTAGCAATAGCTTCTAACCTTGTAAGTTTATCTGCTTTTGGGGAAGTCGATAGATGTTGAGAGACTGAGTAAAGGATTAGGGTTGTTTTAGGTATTCATCAAAGCCATTAGAGACGTGTAGTAGGAGACTCGGAGACGCAGGTAGCATCTTTCCTCTACCAGCTGCATTGCCATGAGCTCTGAGCTTTACACAGTAATTCCAGAATTGATGTGCAGAGGTGCCTGCTTGACGGGAATACCTGAACCTGTAAGTTTAGCCTTGAGGAATATGAGCCATTGCCAGCACTGTTTTTAAAAATGAAAAAGGCATTTTTGAGAATTTCACTGTTTTCTAATTTTCTCATAAGTATCAGACCCCAGCAGTGCTTGTTTGAAGGTAATGGTCATAGTTGCTTGTTGGAATGTTGCTTGGATCAGACTTTTAACACACACACACACACAAAAGTCACCAGTAATAGTCTTTTGTTCATTCCTGTGCACTCTTATTACAATCTCTTTTTATGCTCGCAGAGGTCTGGAAGGTAAGACGGTTGAAAAGCTTAGCGCAGCATGGCCTGCTGCAGTGGTGCATCCTGCTGCTGTAACTCAAGAGTACCAGTGGTTGGTGCAGATATGCAGAACTCCTTCAGCTGGGCTTGAAAAACCTGCTGCTTTGCCAGTTCTTTATTTTGTCAGAGGTGGTAGGGAGAGACTGGCTAACCTCAGAAGAGCTCTTTCTTTATTTCCTTCTCTCCAGAGTAGAGAGAGGAGCACTCGTGTGATTCAGTGTAGCGAAAGGAGCCATGCTGTTAAAAATTGCATTGTTACCTGTGTTCGGTTAAGTCCAGGTTCCCTTTTTAAATGTTGTTTTTTCCTTTCCCAGGTGAAGCTATTTTTCACAAAAACAGTAGAAGAGCCATCAAATCCAGAGGCTAGCAGTTCAACTTCTGTAACACCAGATGTTAGTGACAATGAACCTGATCATTATAGATACTCTGACACCACTGACTCTGATCCAGAGAATGAACCTTTTGATGAAGATCAGCATACGCAGATTACAAAAGTCTGAATATTTTTTTTATCGGAGATAAAAAAAAACACACAAAAAAAACCAACCACGAAGAGCGACAAACTTGAATAAACTGAAAAAAGGACCTTTTTAAATGGCAAAAAGACATAGTGTCAGATTACCAATTATAGGAACAATTCTTTCCTGACCAATCTTGTTTTGCCCTATAAATCTACAGGGTTTGACACTTGTCCAGTTGGGAAAAAAAAAGGTTACGTAGGTCTGATATGTAAATACCTTTTTGTGTCAAAAGGACATTAAAACTTCAATTAGGAACTATAAACATGGCACTTTCCCATTTTATTCCAGTTTTATAAAAGTGGAGACAGACCTAATGTGTATACGTAGGAATTTTTCCTTTTGTGTTCTGTCACCAAACGAAGTTTCAGAAATATACAGGTTCACATCCTGCCCCTTTTTTTGCACTTGTGTGGCAACAGAAAAGTCTGCAGTTGGCTAAGAGATGTTTCTAGAAGGTTTTACTACATTCTAATGCATGTATTTTGGATGGGGGATGGAAAGTAATGCTCAGAAAGGAATATATAGTCTGCTGGAGCTTGGCCTGTGTACCATATCCGGCTATTTACATGCACCTTTCTTTAGCATGCTACTGTAATTCATCCTGGACAATTGAAGAGTCGCCGCTGTCACTGCTTGTTGTTTGTGCATTTTATTTTTTTAAGTGTAATGGTGCTAGAAAAGGCAGCTAGAGAGAGTGATTCTGTATAGGGGTACAGGAATGAACCTTCACAACATCCTAAAGACCCGCAAATGAAGGGAGAAAAATTACTGGGGTCACAGAAAGGAAACACAGCAACAATGACTTAACCATACAAATGTGGAGGCTATCAACTAAAATATGGGCTTGAAACAAATTGTTACAAAATTTGACAATGATATATTAATTTTTTTCTGAATTGTAATGGCTGCTCCATCTCCTGTGTAATCAAGGCCAGTGCTAAAAGTCAGATGCTATTAGTGCATACATCAGTCAACATCTTACGTTTATATTATTAGTTTTTCAATCATATTCCTGCTGTGAATACTTCATATGCTGCCTTGCAAGCTTTTTTCTCATTAATATAAAAATATTTTGTAATGGTGCACAGGAAATTTCAATTGGAGATTCTCCAGGTTAGTGTTTGTTTTGAAGATTTATGATGCATTTATTCAATCAAACCTCTGTCAGCTGTTCCACCCCTTTGACCTTACACATTCTATTACAATGAGTTTTGCAGTTTTGCACACTTTTTAAAAAAATGTCATTAACTGTTAGGGAGTTTTACTTGAATACTCAGTACCTATGATGTTTTAAAAACAGACATTACACATGATGTAGAGGAAACCAGTGTTGCAGTAAATTCTCAACGCTGTGTGTATATGAAGATGTGTACTTTTAAAAAGCAGAGCATGTCCCAAATATATTGTTTGCTACTGAAAAAAAAAAAAAAAAACCAACCCCAAAAAACCAAACCACCCAGCAAATTAGATTTCTAAACTGGCAGTGTTGTATTATTTGTTCGTAGGGATATAGCCAGGAGTTGGGCTTGAGATTCACTTTTGGTATATAATTGACATGCCCAGACTGCAGATGACTTAAGAGTACAACTACTGTTGCATACAGATGTGAAGTAGCTGACAAAATTGTTCTCTCTAAAGTATGCCATGAATAGCTGTCCCCAAATTGATACTTTTTTTAGGATGTAATACACCTCCCCCCTTTTAATTAACTTATTGGTGCTGACATTGAAGTTCATTAGCTGTGTTCTCGCCTAGATAACAACTGTGTATGGAATCTGTAAGGGCCCTGTACAGCAGCATTAATGGTAAGAATTTGAATGAGACAAGGCAGGACTTCCAGTAGTTACTATTGGTAAACGAAGGTATAAAGTGCTTTTTTTTTTTTTTTTTTTTTCCGGTATCTATTGGTCAATTTTGCTCATCAGATTCATGATTCTAACTTCTAACAAAGCTGATAAATACTTTCTGACTTATAGGTTTAATTAGACTTTGATAGCTTAATGGATCAAGATTGCTGGTTCCAGTGCTCATTATTCCCACTGTTATTGACGAGCAGGAGTTGGTTACCTTGGGACGTGACGTTTAACTCTTACCCTTCGAATCATGTTTCACCTTGTCTGTGTTTTAACAGTTGAGAGTTGTGTTGGCTAATAAACAAAAATGTTCATGCTTTAAAAGTATTCGGATATTGACACTGCTGCGTGTCCCACTTTGGATAATAAAAATTGGATTGGTGCGGTTCCGGTATGTAACGCTGAGGGCCGGATTGGAAATCATGATGCGATGGGCTTTTGCACTGTTATTTTTCCTTTGGAATGTGAAGGTTGGAATGAGGGTTTTGATTTTTTTGAATGTTTCGATGTCTTTGAGAAGCCTTGCTTACATTTTATGGTGTAGTCATTGGAAATGGAAAAATGGCATTATATATATATATTATATATATAAATATATATTATACATACTCTCCTATACTTTATTTCAGTTACGACCCCCATAGAAGTTGACAAGAATTACTATGACTGAAAGGTTTTTGAGTCCTTATTAAAACTTTATTTATGACAGTATTCATAATTAGCTTGAACTGCATTCTGTAGGTAATCTTTCCTTGAGTTTCTGGACTGTATGCTTAAACCTTTTTGGATGTGCAACAGCTTACATGTCTGAAACTACTTGAAGGCATCACTTCGGTAAGAGCTTACTGTTAGGCCCTGAAGCATCCCCTAGTCATTGGTAGCCCCACTCAAAATATTTGCCACAGCTATTAAAGGGCAGTTGTATAAATAGCGTCTGGATTCGTTCCTGTGGCACACATTGTAAACTGAAGTGGAGTTTACATGCAGCATCAAATGTTTCAGCTTTCAAAAAAAAAGAAAAAAAAAATTTAAAAAATAGGATGCTAGTGTGCAAGTTCCATGTTTAGTCATAGCAAATGTGTGCAATATGTTAACGATGCCTGTGGTTGCCACGAAGTGCCTCGTTTACCTTTTAAATACTGTTAGAAAGTGTCATGCATGCAGATGGATGGGGTGGAACTGTGCACTAAAAGGGGCTCCAACTGCAGTGTTTGGCAGAGCTGCCTTTCTCTGCCAGTTCAAATTTTCAGTCTGTTTTCATATAGCATATATATATAGATACTAAAAGAAAAAAAAAAATCAGTCTGTTAAGCAGCCTTACTCTGATTCAGCCTCTTCAAATACTATTGTGCTGTGCAACAGTGGCTCTGTGTGTAATGCTATGCACTGAGAATACACAAAAACCAAGTATGACATGTACAGGTAATGCCTCATACAAATCAGATGTCCGTTTGTTATTGTGTTTAACAACCCTTTATCTCTTAGTGTTAAAACTCCACTTAAAACTGATTAAAGTCTCATTCTTGTCACTGTGTGGGTGTTTTATTGAAGTATTTTGAGTATGGAAACGGTCAGTTAAAATATTTTGCTTGTAAGCCGTGAAATTTTGAGCATGATCGTTAGAGCAAAGGATGCTCCTTGTGTGTCAAGGGATTTTAAGGGAACTGCAGCTTAAAACCCTTTTATGTTCAGAAGCTTTAAACAAGTGTAGGCATTGGAAGTGCAGATTGTGTGCAGGGAGATCAAACCTTTTACTGTGATACTGTCATGGTGAGATGCAGGACCGCTTTCCTGGGGAACTAAACCATTTTTAGTCTCCAAGTAAGAGAACTCTTTCCAAAGTGCAAAATTTTTAATGTTGACCAGTGCATCTCCAGCAAAATGAGACGCGAGTCAAACCTGGGAAGTCTTTTCCTAAAGTAGCTTTAAATCGGCAATGAGATGTGTTTTTCCCCAGTGGAAAGTGGGCAAGTGTATTGAGTATGTGGTTTGGGGTTTCTTCTATTCTTGTTGCTCATCTGTTTTCAAACTGGACTTTAAACCAGCACTTTATTTGAAGCATACGCGGTGTTCTCAGTTTGTGACAGGGTTACCCTTTGAGCCTCTAGGAAAGAGAGACTGGTAGCCTCTGCGTTTGTAGTGATGGCGAGGAACCCGGGCGCTGTTCTGCACCCCGTGAGTCCCAGGGATGCTGAACCGGGTTACTTTAGGTAGCTCTTGTTATTCCTCCTTCCTTCGTGCTGGTGTTAACGTCAGCCCCATATCACATCTGGCTGAGCATCTCCAAAGAGTGTGCGTATCAAGTAGAGGTTGGGTGCTGTGGCCTGTTCTGCTCTTTGGTAGTACGAGGAGTAGAAAGTAGTTTTGGTGCTTTATGTGGGTGGAGTGTTTGCCAGCTGTGTCTGGCCCTTTCAGGTGAATGACACAGTTAAGGGTTTTATACCATTTTAATAAAACAGCAGGTTGTAGTACCCAATCTGTTAATACATGTTCTTTTTTTGGGGTAAGCTTGTTTTTCATCCAGAAAATGAAAGTGGAGTGGGAAGGTGTAGAAAGGAAGGTTGGGAAGCTTTAAGGAAAGTAGTCTGGACGGTGTTCAATATGTTGAGTAGCTTTTTTTATAAATGTAGATATATGTATATACGAAGGGATTCTAGTCTGAAGACAGGTGAAAAGTGCTGTTGCAATGTGGATAGAGTATTGTATTTGACTTTACATTCTTATCCTGTTGACTAAAAGTCCCATGCTCCAGTCCTTAGCAGCTAGAAGCTGCTTCCATAAAAAAAATGTTCATTTTTTTCCATTTACAGCTAAGCATGTGATTGCTCTGGTGACTAACGTGGTAATTGCACTTCCCAGGATGGTGCTGGGTGCCTGTATGGGGGACACTCCCGCGTGCTCCATCCCTGCACCTGCGGTTTCCGTCTCCTCCTCCGACCACCGCTCCTGCTGAAAGCTTCGGTGCAGGTGCCCTGGTGAGCTTTTGCTACCTCTGGTGTCGGCAGCAAACAGCAACAGAATTTATGCGGGTCTCTTTTTAGACAGCCATGGACTGATTGTTAATAATTAATTGCATCTTTTTAAAAATTGCAACCAGAGTTATAAATTACGCTCTTTTAAGAAGGAGTTGTGCTGGTAGCAGACTTTTAAAACACTTTTTTTTTTTTTTTGCAGTTGGTTGGCATTTTGGTTATGAAATGAGTGATGACATCCGCTAGTGACGATGTTTCTATATTAGTCTAACCAGATTCCCTAAGGTGATGCGCTGCTGTGATCACCGGCCTGGTGCTGCGGGGAGGTGACGGTGTCTGTGTTCTGGGTGCAGCGGGAGCCGGGAGGCACAGCCAGGTGCAGTTGGACCCCTGCGAGGGGTGCACCAAAAAAAAAAAAGCCCAACAAACCAGCCCTGCAGATTGACACTATTGATACAAAGGGAGGGCAGGTCAATGAGCTGGCTCCGTTTTTGGAAGATGTCTTCTCAAAAACATAATATGAATTGCTACTTCTGCTGCTTTGTTTCTTCTCAACCTTATTCGTCTCAAACCTCCCTCTTTCCGTGTCTATCCTTGGTAGTTCTAGTCCTTTTTTTGTACAATTGAAAGTGTCTTGTGCTAGGTAGATGAGAAAATCCATTTATTTTGAACTGATGTGTCTACTAGAATAAAAATCCCTACTTGTTTTTCTTTTCCTTTGTGGTGTCTCTCCCTGCGCTTTGAGGCTTTTTCTGGTTGGGCTTTTTTTAATGGCGTTTCATTATTTTTCTGTGTGTTTCTTCCCATTTTCTGCTTTTCTCCTCTGCCTTCAAACTTTCTAGCCACCGGTATCTTTGTTGCAATATAGGACAGGTAATTCTTTTTGCATGTTTCTTATTTTGTCTTTTTTTTTTTTTTTTATGCAAAGCTTTAGTCTGAAGGCATGGCAAGGAGAAACGCTTTTAGGTTGCTTTTCTTAAAAGAATAGCTCTGAAAAATGTCAGGGTTGTGCAAGTTCAGCAAATGTGTTTGCCTCATTGAGCTGCTGATGTGCTGTACGAACCTGCACGTGTTTATTCAGCCTAATGGGAACAATGAGCACATGTACTTGACTTGTGATGAGCAACCTGCACAAAAAAACTTGTTAATTAACTGTTGGGCTATGTTTTCCAGCTGCAAATGTTTCTGTATGGGTTATACTGGCTATGGCAAAGTAGAAGAGGGTTTTAGTGGGGTTTTTTTGTTTGGGTTTGTTTGGTTTGTGGTTTGTTGGTTTTTTTTAGACTCTTGTGCTTGATAACTTACCTTGTGTCCCATAGCTAATTCCACATGGTGAAAATAGGTGGCACTTTGCCTTCATGCGGCATCCTTTTCATGCTTCAGAGCCTGTTCATGTAAGAGTTTTAAGTTGATAAAAGATGATATATTTAGAGGCTGAAGTTTGTACTTTCAAATACCCGTTGTAT